GTGCTTAATTACTTGAAACGTGAGGTTAGTACAGTGCCATATATAACATAGACAAGACCAATTTTACAGCTCTGATGAATGTCATGAATGCAATTCTTAATTTAAATGATCTCTTTTTAGCAGTAACTGTATACATGCAATAATTGTGCATATGTGTGCACTTCAGATACAACTTCTGGAATATCATAGGATGGGTCAGGTTTGAAGGGACCTTAAAGATCATCTAGTTCCAACCCATCTGCCATGGGCAGGGACACCTCCCACTAGACCAGGTTACTCAAAGCCCCATCCAGCCTGGCCTTGAACACTCCCAGGGATGGGGCCTCCACAGCTTCCCTGGGCAACCTGTTCCAGTGTCTCACCACCCCCAGAGTGAAAATTTTTTTCCTAATATCTAATCTAAATCTTCCAGTTTGGTGCCATTACTCCTTGTCCTATTGCTACATGCCCTTGTAAAAAGCCCCTCTCCAGCTTTCTTGTAGGCCCCCTTCAGATACTGGAAGGCTGCTATAAGGTCTCCCCAGAGCCTTCTCTTCTCCAGACTGAACAACCCCAACTCTCAGCCTGTCTTCATAGGAGAGGTGCTCCAGCCCTCTTATCATCTTCGTGGCCCTCCTCTGGACCTGCTCCAACAGGTCTATGTCCTTCTTATGTTGGGGGCCCCAGAGCTTGACACAATAAGTCGCACGAGAGCGGCGTAGAGGGGGAGAATCACCTGCCTCGACCTGCTGGCCACACTTCTTTTGATGCAGCCCAGGATAGGGTTAGCTTTCTGGGCTGCGAGTGCACATTGCTAGGTCATGTTGAGCTTTTCATAAACCAGCACCCCCAGGTCCTTCTCCTCAGGGCTGCTCTCAATTCATTCTCTGCCCAGCCTGTATTTGTGCTTGGGATTGCTGCAACCCGGGTACAGGACCTTGCACGTGGCCTTGTTGAACTTCATGAGGTTCATACGGCTCATCTCTCTAGCCTGTCCAGGTCCCTCTGGATGTCATCCCTTCCCTCCAGTGTGTCGACTGCTCTGCAGAGCTTGGTGTCGACGGCAAGTTTGCTGAGGGTGCACTCCATCCCAACATTGGTGTCACCAACAAAGATGTTAAACAGCAGCAGTCCCCGTACTGACCCCTGAGGAACATGACTTGTCACTGCTCACCTCTTGGACATCGAGCCGTTGACCATAACGCTTTGAATGCAACCATTCAGCCAGTTCCTTACTCACCGAGTGGTCCATCCGTCAAATCCATGACTCTCCGATTTAGAGGCAAGGATGTCATGCGGAACGGTGTCAGGTGCTTTGCACAAGTCCAGGTAGATGACATCTATTGCTCTCCACCGATCCACCAACGCTGTAACTCCATCATAGAAGGCCACCTAATTTGTTCAGGCATAATTTGCCCTTAGTGAAGCCATGTTGGCTGACCCTGGTCACTTCCTTATTTTCCATGTGCCTTAGCAGAGTTTCCAGGAGGATCTGCTCCATGATCTTGCCAGGCACAGAGGTGAGACTGACCAGCCTCTAGTTCCCTGGGTCTTCTTTTTTGCCCTTTTTAAAAATGGGGGTTAGGTTTTCCCTTTTC